CCCCTACCCACTTTGATGCATTTTTCAAATTTCGCCTTGGGGCGGTGTTATCTTTTCACAGGGCGGTAAGATACACTTTAATGGAATGCAGTGACGTCACTAGGCCTATTGTCCCCCTAAAAAATTTAAGCCCCCCCCCTAAATTATTTTGGTGTAAAAAATTTAAAAAAATTTTATTTACTTTTTTTTCAAAAATTCAATATGAATTCTATACGATGATGTTTTGGGGTACTTTTGAATTGATGTTAAAATATTATTTGGCCTTGAATGATTTAAAAATAACTATGGAAAATAATAATAATCTGAAAGTGTACGTACATTGTTCTCTAAATAAATGTTACTGAAATCATACTTTTCACTGGATATATATATATATATATATATATATATATATACACACACACACACACAGTATATATATACATACACACACACCATACAAATTTAATATATAAAAAGTCTGTGCGTCTCCTGGGGGCTAAGCCCCCCTTGTCCATAAAACCTAGCAACACCCCTGATGGAATGGTTCCTCTTTTCTTTTATTGCTTTATTTTCAGTGAAACAGGAAGTTTTCATTTATTTATTTATTTATTTATTTATTTATTTATTTATTTATTTATTTATTTATTTATTGCTGATGATCAGATCAGGTGATCAAACAGACCACATCACAATCCGGACCTGGGCCACTCCAGGTCCTCTATACATCCTCTAAAAAAGAATAAACAGGATACTTTAATCAAGCTAGAGCTTATTGCATAACGTAATCTTTTATATTTTTGTTTCATTTCAAAGTATTTTATATAAATTACTTTAACAAACATCTCAAAGGCAGCTGACAAAGTTGAAAAGTGAAGGTTTCTGTTCAAACCAAAGATTTATCCGCTAGGCGGCGCTGTGGCGCCAAGACGTTAAACCGAACCAATCATTCCGCAGCAGCAGCATACGCGGAACTTCCGGTTTGTTTTCGGATTTGTTTTATAGCGATTTTGTTACTGATGAACAGGTGATCATGTCGGCTGCTGAGGACGACACGGAGCTGAGGGATCTGCTGATCCAGAACCTGGAGAACAGCGGAGTTCTGAACAAGCTGAAGGTAGGAGAACGAGGTTAGCGCTAGCTGGTTAGCTTCGCGATGCTAACTATCAAAACAGAGCGTTAGCTTAACCGGTTAGCATCGTAGCTAAGCTGACTCACAGTTTAATGATTAGTGACAGGTTCCGTTTTGTAATAGACCAGGTTGACTTGTTAGTTCCTGGTTACTGCTGGTTAGTTAGTGAAGGGTTGTTGTGTCCCAGGAACAACTCCACTTTTAGTGTGTTGATGCTACTTTTTATTTTAGCCTGTCAGTCGATTTTTTTTAAAGTTCCAAATCAAGTATAACAAAAAATATTTTATCCCTTAAAGTCTAATTTCTCGCAGCCCAAATAAACATATTGTTTATAGAAGTTCATAATAAAATCTTATTATATAAAAACATTTTGAAGTTTGAAATTTATTTATTTCTATCATGAATTGAAATATGAGTACAAAAGAGCAAGTCATCCAATACTACAAAGTCCAATAATATAAAAAAGATGATGATGCATACAAAATCAAAATGTCAAGGAAAGAAAAACTAAGTTAAAAAGAAGTCATGAATGAAAAGGAGAAAGAAGTATAAACTTATAATATCTGCCCCTACTCGCAAAATAAAATCAACCACCAACTCAAAAGTTCACCGTCAGCATACGGCGAAAGTAATTCAACGCACAAAATTACAACAAACACATTTCAACACCGCAAATTACAACAAAACAATACTTTAGGCAATATTATAACACTTCAGTTCTGAATCTATGCTGTTCAAAGGTCTCAACACCTTTTAAATTAAATATACTTTCTCTTTTGATAAATCTGCTTTGGATGTTGTTAGATAACAGATTTTTATGGGTTTTGTACATGAATTTTAAGATATTGTGCTCAATGAAATCATTAAGCTTCAGTAGATTCATCTCTATAAATATTGGATTTGTATGATCTCTGAATCCAGCTCCAGTGATAACTTTAACTGCTCTTTTCTGTAAGAGAAAGATTGAATTTATATATGTTTTACAGGCATTCCCCCATACCTCCACACAATACGTCATAAATGGTACCACCAGGGAGTTATACAAAATACACAAAGCCTTTTTATTTAATATATCCTTTACCCTATTTATCACAGAAATTGTTTTAGATATTTTGCCTTTTATATAATTTAAATAAGATTTCCATGACAAATGATCGTCAATCAGAACCCCCCAAAAACTTAATTTCTTCTGTTTTTTGTATTTCACATCTTTCAACATACAGGCAATCATCAACACTTTTGTTAGTACTACAAAATATCATAAACTTTGTTTAATCAATATTTAGGGATAATTTATAAACCATTGTAAACCATTTTTTAATTTTAATAAATTCAATTTCAACCACCTTTTAACACCTTTCTGATATTTTCTTTAGAATAAAAAAAATTGTTGTATCATCTGCAAATAAAATTGACTTAAGCAATTTAGACATCCTGGTAATGTCGTTAATATACAGAAGAAAGAGTATCGGTCCGAGGACCGAGCCCTGCGGTATCCCACAACTAACATTCTGCACAGCAGACTTTCTACCACCAATTTCCACAAACTGTCTTCTATTTTTTAGGTAACTTGTGATCCAATCATGCTACTCTTTGATGCCATACTTGTGTAATCTTACCAGTAATATAGAATGATCTAATGTATAAAAGGCGTTTTGTAAGTACAAACACACTCACTAGGTATTGCTTTTTGTCTATTACCGTTGAAATTTCTTCCACCAGTTCTACTATCGCTGTTGCAGTTGAATGATTAGAGCGAAATCTGTGTTGACAGTTACTTAATATACTGTATCTGTTTAGACATTTCTCCAATCTTGAGGCAAATAATTTCTCCAGAATCTTTTAGAATTGTGGAAGCAGTGATATCGGTCTGTAATTGTTATACTCATGTTTGTTCCCACCTTTATGAATTGGCACATTTTTTGCAACTTTCATGTAGGGCTGCCATAAACTATTATTTTTATAATCGATTAATCACTGATTATTTTTTCGATTAGTCGACTAATCGGATCATTCGTTAATTGAATATAAAACACGCCAGAATGCAGCTGCTATTATATAACCATGGTTAGATTTTAGCTATATGCTAACTAAAAATAATTGCTGTGGAAGGTAAGTTCTGCTCTGCAGATATTACA